TTTGGTATTAATATTGTGATACTACATTTTTACCAATCTTGATGGTTTTTCAGCAGGCTTACAGTAGCCTGAGTTTAATGTTGCAATGCAAAAATCATCTTGGGACTCCATTTCACATTTTGCAGCAATTTGGTATCAAGGATTTTCATATTTCAGTTGCGACATTTGAAATTCGAACCAACACACTGCCAGCTGATTGCAGTGACTCTCTAATGTGGGATCCTCCTTATCTACCAAGGCAGTGCCAATCAATGGCACTCAAGTTTAAATATTTACAATACCCCTCCTAAACCAAACCTCAGACTCTGTCTATGATACAACTCAAATCAAGAGAACAACGAACGAGCCACTTACAAATGCAGCGGCACAGTAGTGTTTGACTGCAAATGGCATTCGGTGTTGAACGAATCAGAGATCTATGGCAGACAGTGGTGGTCTGCCACCTGTGAGTAATACTGCAGATAAAAATCGATCCAGACACCACTTTTTTACTCCGCAAACTAAAATACTTTGAAGGTCCATGCGCCATAGCTCATCCAAGGTTAGTTCATTTAAAAGCCACTCATTTAAAACATTGTACAACTGTGGCAGGCCCCTATTCAAATGGCTAGGAAGATGCTGGTACATACAGCAGAGTCAGCTGTCGTATTCCTTGGCACTGTGACAAGCCTGATATTTCATATAAATGCTACGGTGAAGCTAAGGCTATTAACCAAAGTGTCAAGATAATGGCAAAACCTGGATGAAACATGAACTTTTGTAAATTAATGGAATCAAATGGTTTTGACGCATAAGTTTCCCTATTTATATCAGTTTCAGTACACTAATACTTAAAAAAAAATCTATAACCGACTTCCTGCTGCTTGCATCAAACTCTGCTGTCAAATCAACACTAATTTTAAATGGCACCACGTCAGCTGTATGATAGACTGGGTAAATGTTTAATGGAGGAACTGCACTTGTATCTCTCTACACTGAACTTTGAGTGGAAAATTGAGTGCAAATACAATATTAATGACTTACTTGAGACCAAATTGGCCACAGGAAATGCAAATGTCTATTCTTGGAATGTAAAATAATGGTAATTTTCTTTACAAAGGTTCCCCTCGTATTACAAGTATGATGAAACATTACTCAGAGCTGCTGCATAATGTGTTTAAGCCCTTCTCAAGTTGTTTGCCTCTCTATAGGATCCCCCTCTTGAGCATGATTGGGTTCTAATTATAGACAATATACAAACATACAAAGACTAAACAGTCAAAGTCCAGTAATGATCCTTTCATTACACTGATTCTTGAGTACTGGGACAAGACGGGCTGTGAAACTGAATGAATGAATGTTTAATCTATACGAGGTATTCATTTTTTGGTCCTACAAGTAGTTTTAGGGGTGAGTGACAATATAATGTTAATTGTAACTAAATAAAGAAAATCCAATAAAATGGTACATTTTTGTAATGGCGGGGGAAGTACAGCAGGATATGCTTTAAGACAAAAATGCATGTGTTCTGCAACCAAATCATTTCTGAACAGATTCCAAAACAACATCTTGAGAGAGACTCCAATTTTATTTGGACGGAGCACACAGTGGCTCTTCTATAACAATGTTAAGCACCTGCTTAATGTGTTTCAAGATCATAAAAAGTTTTAGGATAATGAAATTTTAGGGTGGTTAAATAAGAGATCACTCAGCAGGATGGGATACATCCAGTATTTAACAAAAGATAGCAACTCTCACCTAACTCCAGAGCTGGGATGCTGGATTCTATCCATACGAGACTACAGCTCAAGCACATAATTCACCCGGTCAAACCAATATTGAAATGATGGACCTCCTGCATACTTAAGGCACATTACTCAACACACATTAATTGTGAGATTGAAGAGTGCTGTAACTGTGCCTCAGTCAGGATGTGGAGCGCCGAACAAAAGTGTGATTTATGCTAAAAGCACTATTTACGGCACAACTGTGGTTGTAAAATCAGCTTAATCCACTGCTATGAGATATAAGACAGATATACTGTACATTTGAATTGTACACAGTAAAGCTGCAATATTGAAATGATGGACCTCCTGCATACTTAAGGCACATTACTCAACACACATTAATTGTGAGATTGAAGAGTGCTGTAACTGTGCCTCAGTCAGGATGTGGAGCGCCGAACAAAAGTGTGATTTATGCTAAAAGCACTATTTACGGCACAACTGTGGTTGTAAAATCAGCTTAATCCACTGCTATGAGATATAAGACAGATATACTGTACATTTGAATTGTACACAGTAAGTAACAGGCTTCACGATGGTGCTCAGGATTAAAAATGCTAAAAGCTTGATGGCGACTACTCACAAATAAATTAAACATGCTCCAATAAGATTAAAAAGAAGCTCATAACTGTAAAGACAAGCCTGCAGAGACCAGTCATCTTTCTTCATTCAATATTAAGAAGAGAAACTTCACTGTGCAGCTGTATACTTTGCTGTGAGGGATGGTTCAACCAAAGTGAAAATTCTGTCATCGTTCCAAACTTGCATGACATCTTTTCTTCTTGTTTTCACTATTGTTGTCAATATAGTGAAATTCAGTGGGGATAAAAACAACAAGACCCCATTGACTTTGATTGTATGGACAACATTTTTTAATGAGGCATCTTTTTTGTGTTCCACTGAAGAAAGTAATTTATACATCTTTGGAACTTCATGAGGGTGAGTAAACAATGACAGGGTTTTCATTATTAGGTGAACCGTCCCTTTAAGATTCGCAAGGCTTGCAGCAGTTTTAACACCCATTCTCAGTTATATTTCCTTAAGGTATTGCATTAAAAGGGTAAATGAGTATGATGATATAATCAAGTGAAATCAAAATATTTGTGCCTTCATTGAAAACCAAATCAAGCTAGAAATACTAGCTATGTAAGGAACAAGATCTGTGTAATGAAAGCAAAGTGCGAATGCGAGTCAGTTTACATACCTAAACATTTTTCTTATGTTAGAAAAGAAATCTTTTGTCTACAGTTGGATTTAAATCCTTGGATCTTCTCGGAATGCATGGGCTGACATATTAAAGAGTCATTTTCAGTATGGTAAAGTGATAAAGCACTGTAGTTTTAATATAAGCCTTCCTTGTATGCTTTTGAAGTATGTATGTAGAGCTAGTGATCAACATAATGGCCTCAAGAAGGGATCTGATTCATGTAGAAGAGTATTTTCATGGAAACTGGCGATTTCTAAGTGCAATCCATCATCCCGACCCCGCCATGGCCCATCTCTACTCTTCACTCAGCAGGAATAAATGTGAAATCATGTTAGCTTGGTTAGTATGTTTGGGACTCTGGAATCCAATATTGAATTAGATAGAGAATTAGAATGTTTAAAACATGAAGAACCATGTGAGAGTCACTACCCTCACTGTAAAAGCATTACAAGCCATAATACAATTACATTTATATAATATGCATACAGTCATACAGTACAAGGAAGATCTTAAAAGGACCATATCTCATTAAAAAAAAAAATTATGTATAAATAAAACCACGCTGACATTGATTCAGACAATGGTCAACTATAATAAACAAAGGACTCAACTATAAAAGGCTGAACTGGGAAGTCAGAACAAGTTATTTTTCATGAATGTCAAGTCAGGGCAAGATGTGTTTTATGTTATAAATGTATACTATTGGGCAAAGGTCATTGAGTCTTTACAGTGTGTCTGGTTTTTTTTCTGGGCAATAACAGTGGAAATGTTCACTGGCTTTTTTTGTAGCTCAGGTTTTAAAGCAATTATTCAGATCTTGTCTTTTTAAAGAATAAACTTACCCTGAGAAATAATCACTTGTGTATAAAGTGTGACAACTAGCCCCAGCTCTCCCCTGTAGGCTACATATGAAATTATGCTGCACTGTGAAAACAGTGTTTTGCCAGGTAATCTATATCTAAATCTACATTAAAATATGCATCAATGAAATATTAATGTTTTTAAGATATCACATAGTTTTCATTGTTTTGAGGGCAAAAAAAAGGTCGAGAAAATGAAGAGCGAATGGAAAAGACTAAAATCTTCCTCAGCAACTGGATGCTCCACTGAACTATTAAACACATTTAGGACATTTCTTCTTCTATTTAAAAAGGAAAGGTGGTGGTGAGCTTAGGCATAGGCTATTATATATATTTATTTATTTTTGATCAGTAAGATCATTAGTCACATCGGATCTTTCAGACTATCCGACTCCCAGTGATCCAGTTAACAGCTCACCAAGAAAAAAATAATAATAACAACAAACAATAATAATAACAATCTTTTTTTTTTTTTTAAAGAGCTGAGCAAGTGAATTGAGAGGGAACCGAGTGGGTAACCGAGTGAACTGATTCTCAAGAGCCGTTTTATAAAATCATGCTACATTTTTCATAGGAGACAAATTTTAGTACAGTTTAATGCTAATTTTATTTAGGGTCTTTTTTGCTGAAAGCTAAACTGGGACAAGAAATAAAAAATAAATACACATATTAACAAAAACACAATCGGAAGAACAGTAATAAAAAGCAATATGTGCATAAAAAGAGATGTATCTTTACCACACTGTCAGAGACCACGTGCTTGCGTAAAACGCAGTTTTTCGAACCGCTTCTTTGAAATGATTTGTTCAAAAGAACCGATTCGATCAAATCGAACTTCCCATCAATGTGTACGTTGAAATGACAATAAAGGCCAATCATTTTGACAGACAAGCCAACATTTATTTGAAATGCGATGCTATAGCCTAGCTGTGCCTGAGGTGATTTTCATATTTCCATGAATAATACCTGTCTAACAAATACAGAAGAACATTTGTATTTCTAATTTTGGATGTTAAGATTTAAGAGTGCATTTTATAGCGCTCTTTCATTTTACACAAATGGACCGATTAATGTTTTTAATCTGCAAATGATATTACATTGATTTGAAATATAAAATGAATGAATCCTCATCAATACTATAAACTTTATCCCAGGATGCCAAGTACTCACCCATATCAGCCGCGCGCTTTTGATTCCACTCGCGTTTAATCCCTGCGGTTACTGCACAGATACTCAGTCTCTCAGGATCCACTCCGACGAAGACTTTACCTTTAGTACGAGCAGTATTAGCCTACAGCCCAACTAAAATCATTACCAATCCGACCTCATCTCGCAAAACACTTTAGAACGTGCTGCGTCCCCCGTTTAATCCAACAACACGACAAACCAGCGTACATCCAACAGCAATGAACATGATCGCCATCCGTCGTTCAAACGGAATATGAATGAATTCTCGCTACGCAGCAAGCAACTGACTGAAGATGAGGGCAAAAGTTGTTCTGGGTCGCATAACTGGAACAATAATGTTTAAATCATGCGGAGCTTATCGACCAGAGGTACTAGAGGTAAGCAACGCCAAAAAGAAAAGACTGAGTCTTGAGGGCTTTGCGTGAGAGGAAAGCTGTGCTCGCCGCCGCAGTAGAGTCTCGAGCTGCTCCGTCCCTGAGAAATATCACAGACAGTGATGATTGTGCGCTGCCGCCCTCAGGTCCTCTACAGTCATAATAAAGGTGACCCGGAGGCAAACCTGCTGCGGTAAACACCCCCCTACCAACCAAAACTGTTGAGGAATATAAATGACACCCTGCTAATCACTATACAATAGCCAGAGAGATCCAGTGTACATTAAAGGTATGGTCACCAACAACGACTGATTGGCTGACTAGTTTCTTAATATAAAGATACCTTTTTTAATATAGGCCTATATATTCCATTAATAAGATACTAGTTTTGACCAAATTGTTCAATTACTTTACATTCTAATGTCTGGAATTATAGTCTGACTGAAAGATTTAGGATTTAAGAAGGTTCAGCCAGACCCACAGAATGAATTCAAATAGATGGCCGTTGCTGTTGAAAATACATTTTAACCACATTTAACATATTTTTTAAAAATGATATTTCAATATTTTATGATATTTTTAAATAGATATTTTAAATACATTTTATAGATATAATTCAATGGACCCAAGGCTTCACAGAGCTATTTCTACCTGAACCTCATATGAAAAAAATATGTCTTGCTTGAATAAGACAGCTCCTGAATATTTGATTCTGACTCAATCGTGGGATTCAGCATCAATATTTGTATTTATTTATTTGTTTGTATAACTATAAATGACCATGGCAACCTTGATCTGGAAACCTTTTGGTCACACATCTTCAAATAATTTAATCTCAAATCAATATTTAATGCCTTTTCATTTACTAAAACTCCATAATATGCAGGATAATGGCCGTATGGTCAGGCCATCAATGTGAAGTAGAAATGCTTTTATGTTCAGATCCTTTTTTTCCCCTTGATGTTCTTTGACACAAGCATTTCTCCAGGTCTTGATTAGTATGAGCACTTAATGTAAAAAATAGAGAGACCAACAGCTGAACTAAGAAAACACTCAAGTAATCTGTATAAACCAATTATTCTGATTCATCTTCTGGTTGAAAAACAGGTTTGTTCCAAGCTATTGTGCTCTGACTGACCTGACTTTTATATACACTCTTAAAAATAAAGGTGCTTCACGATGCCATAAAATAACCTTTTTGTCTAAATGGTTCCATAAAGAACCTTTAACATCTGAAGAACCTTTCTGTTTCATGCAAGGTTCTTTGTGGAGAAAGAAGGTTCTTCAGATTATAAAAAGGTAAGAAAGAGATGGTTCTTTAAAAAGCCTTTGACTGAATGGTTCTTTGTGGAACCAAAAATGGTTCTTCTATGGCATTGCTGTGAAGAACCTTTTAAAGCACCTTTATTTTTAAGTGTATGTTTCAAAGCAAAGCAAATAGTTAAAAGCCACAAAGAAATACCAACTTCATTTACTTTTAATAGGAATGTCATGGTTGGAACATTGTTTTTTTTTTTTCTAGCCATCCTTGTGGATAAATGTAAATGACTTGGAGCCGGTTTGGGAACATGAAATGAGTGCATGTTAATGAGTTTTCTTCCAGTCTTTACCTGTGAATCCATCTAATTTTACGCTCCATAAGTCAATTATTTTGTCACAAGCTCTGTTAACAAGGTGCGTTCAAACTGTTTTTGGCAGATTATCCACAAGTGAAAAACACAATATGATGTGCTTCTTTCGCTAGAGAACATCTATTTTTCTCTTCTATTATTTTTTTCTCTAACTCAGTTCTATCTTGGCTGTCTTATACAAGATTTTCAGAATGAAAAAACAAATTCTTGGAACTTGCACATTGGCAGTCGTGATATGAGTGGATTAAGAATGCTATGGCTATATTTGATCTCTTGCCACATTGAAGACATGCAGATAATTTAAAGCAATGGAATATATTTTAGCAGTGGATTATCCAGTTTAAGCAGTGCAAGTAGTTAGGCACAAACTGGCAGTAGCCGATGGCAATGTAAGGATGGACGACGGCAAAACAAGATCACTGCTAGCAGCATATCTTAATTCATCATTGTTTTGGATGCTGTGTAGAAAGATGTTTATTTATTAACTAAACCACTGACAAATGTAGGAAATTAGCAAAACTTTAAATTACGGTAACAGAAAGACTTGTAGTGAGAGTTTCTTAAATATTTGAGTCATTTACTGTATAACTGGTGAATGGTTAAACTAACAGATCACTCCAAAATGAAAAATCCTTCTCATTTATAGTAGTTGCAGATTTATAAAAAGCATATTGCCTTTTGAGTAAGTAGAGAGAGTGAATGAGGGATGTGATAATCAGTGGTAAAAAACAACTGAGCCCAGACAGGAAACCAATTGTCACCCATTTGTCTTAAATCAACACCAAGAGCTTCTGCTATGCTGATGTAAGCCAATTTCATGGCTCTCAATATCTCTCCCAGGGCGTCATACATATTTCATGATTATGAGATGTCATAACAGGCATTCTGGATTGAAGTTCACAAATTAAATAGCATGCTGAGCTTCACAAAAAGTTCTAGCCTTGTGTGATTTTCTTTGTTTTGAAAAAAATAAAAATAAAAATGAAATGAATTCCCTTGGGAATATCTTCAATAAGCATGTGACATTTTAAGATTAATAAAGGAAATCACTCATAACTGGTCATTTCTGCCTGCTCCATTTGAGTGATTTAGAACTTTAACATGGGTCGGGCTGAGTTGTCTTTCTATTGATTGCCTTTAATAGTCTTCTATCTGGAGGGAATATGTTGTTTTACCAGGCTCAACAACTCATCACAAGTGAAAGTCAAGTTTTCATATATTAAACTCTCTCAGAAAAAAAGAAAAAAGGCACAAAAGTTATCACTGAGGCAGTACTTTCGAAAGGTATACCTCTGTACCTCATTTAGCCCTAAAGGGTGCATATTGGTACCTTAAAGGTGCATATTTGTTTATATTTACTTATAAACATAAGTTCCGTTCAAACAGATGAGCTTCTTGAATAAGTATCAACACCAACTGTATAATTACACCATTAGCAGTTACAACAAAAATTGGTTCATATGTAAGCAAAATGGACATTATAGCCAAAATAAATCGTAATCGTAATCTGAACCAAGACATATTGTGACCTGGAATCAAACAGAATTGAGATATCTGTATCAATATTCCCATTGCCCATGGGCAGTGTTGGGAAAAGTTACTTTTAATTGTAATACATTATTACAATATTACGTTACTCCATAAAAAGTAACTAATTGAGTTACTCAGTTACTTTTCATGGAATGTAATGCATTACTTTTTTTTGGTCACCTGATCTGGGCTTGTTTATTTATTTTTATTAACAGAAAACCCAAAAGTTGTATTTTTGACAACTGTAAAGGCCCTTTTACACAAAAAAGAATAAATGAATAAGCCTCAGGCTGAAGGAAGTGCGTCTGCCTCTGCACCTCACTCCCAATTTCTCTAAACATGGGAACAGGATAGGTGCAGTGAATAAATGGGAAAACAAAGTAACTTGCATTTCTTATTTGAAAGAGTAACTCAGATATTTCCTTGTAAAATGAAAAGTAATGTGATACTTTACTAGTTACTTGAAAAAGTAATCTGATTACATAACTTGTGTTTAGGGCTGCCCTCGACTAAGGACTAGTCGTTCATTTGAAGCATTTTGAAGCATCAAACGTTTAACCCATTAAAATCATTATAATGAGCCTTTAATTGCCTACATAGCCTAATAAGCGCTCAATCACACGCATAAAGCTTCCCACAGTGCAACGGCAGAAGCTAAGACTTCTTAGAATTTGAATTTGTCAGGGAAAAACAGTAAGGAGACTGCTTTAACATTTTAATAATTTGATAAACTAGTGCTTTCTTTGTTTTCAGATTAAGAGATGAAGTCGGCGACACAGACTCGTCATCTCTGCAGTAGTGGATGCACCTGTATGCATGTTTCATATGGATTACATAATCTGAGAATAGGCCTATTTGTTTTCCATTTGAATTGGTTCATTTGAAAGTAGACATTTCGCTCTCTCTAGATGTTTTCATATCTGTAAGGAAAGTAGGCTATAGGGCTACACAGAGTTTCGGAGTTTTGCGCTCAAGTTCACAGAGACCGAGACGGCAGAAAGCGCATCATGTTTGCTTTCATTATTTTACAAAAGCGCTGTACTGTGAGTGCACATAAATAAACTTAGAGTTTTTACAGATTTGAAAGATGTATTAATCTTATCTGAATGACCAAAAATGATGGAGTATTTAATAGCAAATGACTGCACCGGCTGTCATGCAGTGAGCACAACTTTTCAGCTTACAAACACACACTTGAACAGCACACTTTTCTCTAGGATAACATTAGATTGAGCGGCCATGTAAACTTGCTGCTACTTACGTATTTCAGATGATAAGCCATATTTGAGGTCGTTGAATGATAGGCGAGCATTTGGATGTCCTGCCCGATGTATTGTATTACCACATAGACCAGCCGTAAGAGATAACTTTTCAGGAAATATCTGTTTTAGGCTTACGATCAGGGTTAGGTGCTTCTACACCCTTGTTAATCAGCTATCATTTCCCACTGATTTTAGGAATAAATTATGGGTAGGGTTAGGTTTAGTAGGGATTGGGTTAAGTCTATATTTTTGGACAGTAATGTTGATCCAGGATCAACAAAAGATGTTGATCCAGGAACATGTCTTACTTGGAAAAATCACGGCGACCCACTCCCAACACTGCTAATGGGCCCTACAAGAACACCCAACAGGTGTTGTTAACATGTGGCAAACAAAAACAGTTATGACACTGATAAATGAATCAGTCTGATTGAGTGAATAATTCAATGACTCACTCAACAGTCATAAATGCCACCGCTAATGCACAGACTGTGGAAATCGCAAACAAAGAACAGAGTGATGCAATCTTATATCAGTACTCTTGGAATGCCACTCAGCCAATCAAATTTGAAATAACTGTTATAGAAAATATAATTCAACATATGTACTGCATAACAGTATATACTCTGCATTATGCATTTTCTAAGAACATAGGTTCAAGCACAGACATCTAGACTTACAAACA